TGGAGGATTTAGGGGGTGGATGCAGGACACAGGATGGAGGATTCAGGATGCAGATGTGGGACAGGATTCAGGACGCAGATGCGGGATGGAGGATTTAGGATGGAGGACGCAGGACACGGGACGGAGGATTCAGGATGCAGATGTGGGACAGGATTCAGGACGCAGACGCGGGATGGAGGATTTAGGATGGAGGACGCAGGACACGGGACGGAGGATTCAGGATGCAGATGTGGGACAGGATTCAGGACGCAGACGCGGGATGGAGGATTTAGGACGGAGGACGCACTGCGGGATGGAGGCTTTAGGGCGCAGAGGCAGGGTGCCAGATGCAGGACACAGGAGAGGGGCTGCAGAGGCAGGATTCGGGGTGCAGCTGTGGGACGCAGGACACGGGGCACGGGATGAAAGGGCAGATGCAGGATTTGGGATGCAGATACGGACCGTGGGATGCGGAAGCAGAACCGAGGACGCAGAGGCGGGATACAGGGCAGGTGACGTGGGAAACGGGATTTAAGATGCAGGTGAAGGATGCCGGGTACAGGGCGTGGGATGCAGAAGCGGGATCTGGGATGCGGAGGTGGGATGTAGGACGTAGGAGGTGGGATGCGGATGCGGGATCTGGGATGCAGAAGCGGGATTTAGGATGCGGAAGAAGGATTTAGGGTACAGACGCGTGTGGGATAGAGGATGTGGGGTGGGAAATGCAGGACGTGGGAGGCAGAAGCAGGATTTAGGGTGCAGATGTGGGATGCAGGTGCAGGACAAGGGACGATCCGGCCCCGGAGCATCACGGCGCAGGCCCGGGCGTGCACAGGGATCTTGCGGCACCCCCAGAGACGGGGAGTGCGTGCGACGAGCCGGGAAATGCAAATTTCCAAGGAAAAATTACGGCTTTCGAATCCCCGTACGGGGATTTCGCCACTCGGTCCCCGTCCCCCCCCATCTGGGAGGCAGAGCCCGGCCGCGTGGCCACAGCTGCCCGCCAGATGTGCCGGGGCGGCGACTCGGGGAGGGGAAGGGAGCCCCGGCGGATGGGGAAGCCTCCCCGCTCCATCCCTGCGTGGGCTGGTTTGGGAACGCCGCTCTCCCGTATGGCACCTGCTCCGGAGAAACGCCCGGCTGGGGCCGGGAAGGAGCTGGAAGGAAGGACTGGGACGGGGCCAGTCCGGCCTCGCAAATGATTTTAATTGCAATTAAGCTTTTGTCCTGTGGTTGGGGAGGGTGGTGGTGGTGGGGTGATGGG